GCCCCATGGATGCCACAAGAGAAGACCACATGGAGTGGACATCAGAGGGGTCAGCGCCACTTGGACTTTCTCCAGCCTCCGCAGAGGAGGAATGCAGCAGCCCAAACAGTTCGGCCATCCTAGTGTATGCAGGGAACGGGAGCTGACGTTTCCAAAAAAACGCTGTGAGGCGAAGAATAGACCAGGATCCGAAAGAGGCAGGCGTGGCAGAAACTACCCTGTGAGAAGGAGTACCAGACCTAGCCAGAGTGCCGGGCAGGAACAAGTCTTCGCCACCTTCCGATACTTGATCCATGCTAAAAGAAAGAAAGCGAGAAATCAGAGCAAGAAAAAGACCAGAGTAAGTGTAGGACCAGTGTGAGCTAGCTAGCTAGCTAGTGCCGCAAGGCGGCGAAACAAACTAAGTTGGTGACAGGTGAGGCCCTGCTAGATGCCAAGTGGCTTGAGAGGCTTTATCTATGAATTGGCACGAGGGGATTTTGTGGCCACCGAACGTTGTGGCAGGGTGTCGGCCTCTCTGTGACAGTTAAACATAAGATAGAATGGGAGTGACAGGTGAGGCCCTCTCTATGCCACGTGCGAGGCGACTATGATTTGGCCCGAGGGGAGTAGTACCTCCGAGTATGAGGACGGGTGTTGGCCTCGCGGGACCACTAACCTAAGGCTAATAAAGCCAGGGGGAGATAACCACTATTGGACACCTAAAACCCTGATAGCCAGCCACGTCTAGACTAGGTGGGTTAGCGATGTGCTAGACAGGATGTACCTGGGGAAAACATGTAACAATAACGTAGGGGAAATATGAGGCAGCAACGTAAGGCAGACCGTATCTGGAGTGCCGAGTAAGCACATCAGAGATCAGGTGGTCAGGCCGTACAGAGGGAGCAAGGAAATAGGAAATAGAATGTGTATTGGTATATGGCCCGGTGCCCGTATGGGTCAGAGCGTGGACCCAGATACAGAAAAGAAAAACACAGAACAATAAGACGTACCTTCCAGGAGGTAGAGTAGCACGAGAATTAGGATGGCAAGAACGCAGCCCAGCGAAGCAGTGTACTAAAACCTGAAAAAGAACACGGATTAGACAAAGCCATAGGGGTAAAAAGGAAACCCAAACTGAACATGAAAGAGCGAAGCAGAGAACCAGAGAAGCAAGAAAGAAAGCAGTTACAAAAACCAGATGAGCAGGGAGAACAACCACAGGGGACACACACTAACCCCGGAAGGTAGAGTAAAACACAGTGACGTACCTTTAGATTGTATTACTCCATTTGTAATTGCAAATAAAATGAGGAAACTCCCTACTTTAAAGCAGTATCAGGTTTTTTTTTGTATTTTTATAAATATATATAACTTATTTTATTTCTTAATTATTTATTTATATATTTTTTTAAATGTGAATAACGATAACCACCACTAGAGATCAGTAAAAGAAGAAAACGAACCATGAGAACGGCAAGTGGTTCGTGAGGACGGGTAGAAAATAGGAAATAGAGTAGGACAGGTAACAAGTGAAAGGAGAAAACTCCCGAACGGCGAGTTCGTGAGGTAAAACCGAAGAACACGTGGGAAAAGAAAACGAGACAGTGCCGGGGAAAGACCCAAACGATGATGACGCTGCTGGACCGCGACAGAAGGGTAAGTATCTTACGGTCCAGTGGAGTCGACAGGACGTTCAGCAGTGGCTTGGGGCGACAGGAGAGCCGGGAAATAAGGGAGCCCAAACGGAACCCAGGCAGCGACTGGACGGCGGCGAGGCAAGGAAAACCACGAGGACCAGGAAAGGAGCGAGGAGAGGCGAACGGAACCAGCGTCAGTCAAGCAACGCTACGGAACGAACGAGACAGGTGGAGGTGAGTAGTGGGCTTAAATAGGTGACCATGCTCCTTCCACAACTGCAGGCCAAGCCTTCCCATATATCTTCACTCTCATGATATAGAAATTGGAGTTGTATTCAGGTATATGGCAATGTTCTGCTACTAAATCTTTATATTTTCTTCATGTTAAAGGGACACTACAGTCACCTGAACAACTTTAGCTTAATGAAGCAGTTTTGGTGTATAGATCATGCCCCTGCAGTGTCACTGCTCAATCCTCTGCCATTTAGGAGTTAAATCCCTTTGTTTATGAACCCTAGTCACACCTCCCTGCATGTGACTTGCACAGCCTTCCATAAACACTTCCTGTAAAGAGAGCCCTAAGATTTTCTTATCCCCTGCTATGTTAATAGCTTGCTAGACCCTGCAAGAGTATGTGTATGTGATTAAAGTTCAATTTAGAGATTGAGATACAATTATTTAAGGTAAATTACATCTGTTTGAAAGTGAAACCAGTTTGTGTTTTTTTTCATGCAGGCTCTGTCAGTCATATCCAGGGGAGGTGTGGGCTGCATAAACAGAAACAAAGTGATTTAACTCCTAAATGACCGTGAATTGAGCAGTGAAATTGCAGGGGAATGATCTATACACTAAAACTGCTTCATTTAGCTAAAGTAATTTAGGTGACTATAGTGTTCCTTTAAGTGTGGTATCAATTTTTGTATTTTGTATATAACAAATAAAATACATTGTAAAATAGACACTTTTCACATAGATATGTTTATGTATAATAATTCATAATTTAACCTTTTGCTTTAATTTTTCCTACCTCCTTTAGTCATGTAAAATACACGAGAAGAAAATAAATAAAAAATTAATCTTCAAAATTCGGAAAAAACAGTGATGTTTTATTTCTTGATTAGATCCATGAAAGTTTATTAAGGTGACGTTATGTTTCAAGAAACAAGCAAACGTGTACACAATGGTCTATTTCTAAAAAATAAAAATAAAAAAAAGTGCCAAGATTGGCCGTGTATAGAAGTGGCACCTGGAGCTATGGACGGGCCAGTCCTGGTCCTATTATATTAAATCCTTTCCAGAAAACACCTTGTGTGATCAAAAGGCTTGGCTTTGAGGCACAAAACCACCTTGTTTTTGAGGAGACCAGTTGCGAAATAGGTGAGATACTAAACGTTTGGCATAGAATTTTATGTTTGCATGTAATACTGAAATTAGCACAAATACATTCTTTACTCAGTTTAGGAAGAATAATATTGGCTAAAATAATTTTCCCATAGGCTATTCCTGTGGTTTTTTTTTTTTAAATTATTGAAAATGGAAGCAAAGTGCAAGAATGTCACATTTTGTTGTTTTTTTTTTTTTTTTTTAAATATGCATGAGAAAATCCACCTGGGCCTGAGGCTTTACTATTAGGAAGAGATTTGATTGTGAAAGAAAAACAAACTGAACCTACCAGTTCCCCAAAACTCAAGTGAAGGTATACACGAGTTGTTGCTGTTCTTAATTACGATTCAATATGTACATTGAGGGGATCTGCAGAATTTAATGGTTAAAAGTGTAAAGATTCAAAGTGCACCATCTGAAATAGCACAAGTTGTCCTCTTTGGCATATGGTATACCAGGACGGTAAAGTGTCCTTTGCGACTATTTTGTCCCACCAGTGACGAGAAAAGTAAATCAATCTGTGAAACCGGGACATTTGAAAACTGAAATTGGCATGTAACTTGATGCTATAACTTATAAAAAATAAAATAAGTCTACATGACAGCTTTGCACGACTTGATGGAAGTATTAGGATACAAAAATTGGGTCTTTATAGTTGTTTAGGCAAATAACTTGTTAGTTATCAAATACTCTTAGTCAAATAGCCTGGAGGTACAAGTTTGTGCAAAATAGCACTAGGGAGATATCAGCTATGCCTCACTGATGATGCCTAACAAGGCTGAAACGATCGTCTGGGGTTGCTGTATCTCTCGTGCAGAGAGAACTTGCTGGCATTTCGGATCTGGACTGCCCGTATGGGTGGGACCAGTCTGATATGTTCTCTTTGTAATGGCACAAGATGAGCAAAAATCAGCTTGAGAACTGAGCGGGGACCGACCGAAGGGCAGACTATTTCAGCTGCTGCCCGTCCTCAGTATTCTCTTGCGACCCATTTTTTTGAAACCCTTTAACTTTGTACGATCACAGGATAGGAGTATTTTAGAATTAACAATTTGGGCACCATAGCACCTTCAAATTGAAATTATGATGCCACAGAATCCCAGGCACGTCTTTACCATTAGGACTTCAACCATACAATTAGAGGTTAAAGTTATGTACATTATTAATATGAAGCGTCAGCTGACCGCTCCAAGTCAATCAGCGAAACTCCTGCCGTCCATGATTCCTCAAATCCGATGTGGTCATGGACAGAGTAATAGCGTTGAACAGTTTATCCCCTAATAGTATACAAGCGCCAGGCACCTCTTGGTACTATAACAACTTAATTCCAATGAAGTTATGATTTCAAAAACCTGTTCCTTTAACCAAGATTAGTTTGTACTTTACAATTTGATGGAAATAAAAATATAGGGCATTGTATATTCAGAGGATTGGTGACCCCTGAAATAGCAGCTACAATCACTCAACCAGGCAATAGGCAGATACAATTCTGAAAGAGTCAACAGTTGCCAACATCTAATCAGAGAACGTCAAAAAAAGAAAAAAAAGGTGGCAGAAGCCCTCACAATTACAGATCAATAACCAGTTATGAACACAACACAAAACATTAACTAAGCTGTTCTGCCTAGATAAATGTGATCTAAAAGTTTAGGCTGAGAGAGCGCCTCTCATGGGACTGGTAATGAACAGTCAAATATGTCAACACTTCTACATGCTGGTAAAGTGCTAAAGACAGCATGGTTTAAATGATTTCTTACGGTTCTATTTTATACATGACTTTCAAGGTTAGTTTGTGACCTGTTTTATAGATGTAATAATTTCGATACAGCCATTGTAATGGTCAACAAGTAACAAAGTCTTCCCCCTGGTTTTATTATTACGATCTTCCAGTTGAACTTCAAATTTATTGTCAAGAGAAGCAAGAACCCCCCTCCCCAACTTACCATAGGGAGGGGACGTGTATAAAATGTACACAGCTTACAAAGACAGTAGACTTGATCTTTTCCATGACTGTATTTATTGGTCACGGGCAGTTACATTTAATAAGTGATGCTACATACCCTGTACATATGTGAGAAAATACATTTAGAGCTATACATATAGCTTTAAAAAATCAGCACAGAAAAAAAAAAAATCTACAGAAGAGCAGCAGTACAACAAATTGCAATAAACTAGCAGTGCAATATGATTACACTAAGCAGCTTTGGTTAAAAACAAAAAACACAGAATAGCACCATATTGTTTAAAGAGGATATATGAAGAATGTAAACCTGGTAGACATTTCAAGTATATAGACAGCTTTGAGAAGACATATTTAAGAAGCCTACCAGCTGAAACAGAGGGGTTAAAACCCACCTGACCTAGTGCTGAAATTGCCAGTGCAAATAATCACCTTTTTAATCAACTGGTATCAACTGGAATAGCATTACAATAAAAGAAAAAAAAAATTACAGTAAAATGAGGAGCAATCACATTACTAAATCTTTCATATTTATGTATCCTCCAAAAAGGACCACTTCATAAAAATTGGTTAAATTCTTACAATGCTCTACCTTACTAGGAGTCCTATGGAACCTTTAAATCCTATGCAAACTTTGAGCAAGTAAATAACCTAAGCTAGTGTTAAGGTTTCTGGATCATAGTCAATGTAATTGTACAGAGTTCAAAATGGACATTCAACAAGCTGCTCAGGGTGAAGTGTAAAACTGCAGATGTTAGTTATTCTTTTTCATTGTAACCGTAAAAAGATCAAAGATGTGTGTTACAGGTATGGACAAAGTAAATAAAAAAATAAAAATAACCCACAAACATTAAAAATAATATTTACTATTGGGCTTACTATACAAAATAAAATATTAATTAAGTTTAAGTAAATATTACTTACATAATTATCACATTTTATCAAATCAATCCGTAGAACATTGGGGGTAGGGGTGAAATTCTAAGCAATATCAAGCTACTAGGTTTTCCCAAACTGTAGATTTCACAGTTAAATTTGGTCTTTAATTTTAAATAGCAAAATAAATGTAAATAATATCAGTACAGTTTGTACTGAAGATGGTAAAATAGCAACAATTCAAGTAATCCGTATAGGTTTTCCCAATACAAAAAAGAAACATTTAATGCATTAACTTGTGAATGTAGCTAGCCAGTTTTAGACTTCATATGGCCATGGAACAATATAGCAATTTTCACGTGCAATGCCAAGTCCAGTTGCTTATGAAGTATTTAGTGCGAATTACACTATTGGCGGTGTCATCCACAGATCACAGAATGCAATAATGTGTATACATTGGACAGCTGCAAAAACAATTGGTTAAATCAAGTGCTAATGAGGTTTATATAGATAGATATTAAAATAGTTCGCTAGGTCAGGGACAGTTGCAGATAAGAAATGGGATTTGCCCAAGTTAATAGGCTTGTGTAAAATGCAGAGAGCCTGTGTACTGTGAAGTCAGACCGTGCACAAGAAAGTGTAGAGGACAAGTTAAAGTGCAGAGAGTCCTTGTTCAGTCACTAGCAATCTCTAATCTCCTTTGAGCACTGAAGGAACTTCTCGTTTTGGTGCGTTTGCTTTTCCATGTAGAGGATGATGGCTGTAAGCTGCCAGGAGTTTTAAAGAAGGTCTCCGTGTGAATCAGGTGACTGCTCTTGGGAGTTAATGGAGTTGGTGACTGTGAAAGAATGGAAATACAATAAGACCTTTGACAAGAGAACTTTAAAGTTAAGTTGTTGACAGTACATGCCCAACTCCCCATGTTCTGGCTGGATGCAGTTTTTAGCTACCTTTAGCATACTGATGTTATGGAGTACATTTTCATTGATGCTTTGCCAGCATTATGGGAGATGCAGTCCACAAGACCTGGAGAGCCCCTCATATAGAGTCACTTTTCTTGGTAAAATGCCTCACTGATTTAACAAAATAGGAACTTAAAGAAACTCTCCAGCGTCAGAACAACTACAGTTTGCTGGCGTGCTACATATGTAATTTGTCAAACTCTTTTAGAAAGGTTTGACAACTTACGTGGGTCCTGCTTCCAGATTCTCATTGCAGGAAAATACTTTTCACTCCAATGAGCTAAGCAAGGCCATTTACGCTCGCTGAGAGTCAGGCGAGCGCTATTCACGAATGAGTAAGGTCCTGTATGAGACCTACTTATCTCGGTGAAGACTTGACTTCTGCTACAGTAGAAGACCACACATGATATGGGAACCTGGGGGACCGAGATAAGTGATCAAACTATTCTAAAGAGATTGGTGCTCCTGGCACCCTAACCACTTATATGATCTGTAGCAGTTCTGGTGCTTTGAGAATTCCTTTAAAAATTTAAAGGCAGGTTACAAATAAACTAAACTATAGACTACTTTCTAGTTCAAATCAAAGAGTGACAAACAACGGTCAAGAAAGCAGTAAAAAGGTTTGTAATGAAAAGACTAACCTTTTGCGATTTAGGGACAGCATTCTGCACACAGTCTGAGCCAACTGAACTAGAACCGCTTACTGGGACAGGACTGGCATTTGGAGAAAGATCTGAAGGAGTCTCAGGTTTGTGAGCTGGTAGAGACGTTGTGTTCCCTATTAACGGACAGGGTGAGGTCCCATGAGGAATGTTATAATTCATGAACCCAGGACTTGAAGAAAGGCCATTGGAACTGGAAGGTAAGGAGTTGGAAGCCATTTGGGAGCAGAAGAAAGGGTATGCTTGTAGTGCTGTGGATGGGACCATCACACAAGGAACACCGAGGGATGCCAAGCTACCTTGAGAACTAACCAAATCTCTGGGGGCACCACTCGCAGGAAAAAGAAACTCTAAACCATTTACTCCTAAAAAGAAAGACAAAAGATAATTAGAATATTAAAGTTACAGTGGAGGGAAATGGGGTGGGGAGAGTTTCTCCTAGATTACTCACCAGCTGATGGTATGTAAAGGAACTGTTGTAATGTGGATGGTCTGAATGTGTCTTGGGGAACACGGTTAGAGTCCATTAGACCGTTTGTTTCTTTAGCTTCGGTCACATGTTCCACATTATTTTGCGTGTTGGCTGTTCTGTTCTTTTTGTTCTCTTCAAAAAGACTTTGCGACTTCTCAAGGACAGAGGTGTCAAAAACCAAATTGTCGGGTGATTTTTCCCTATGCTGGAAATAAAAATAAAAGAATTTAAATGGAGACATCATTTCTCCTGTTAGAGAGCCCACCTGCCCCCAACTTAAATGTCTATATACAATGCCTTGTAAATCATCTCATCATAATGAGGATAGCAAGCAGCACGTAACCATACTACATAGTGGCCAAAAAGTTACAATAAAAATAGTATTAAGGACTTTTTGGATTAAATAATCACACAAATTGTATTACAACAAGAATATAACCTACCTTCGGTAGAACCAAGGAGAGTGGAGATTCATCTACATCAGTACGCCGTTTTTTCGATTGGTGAAGATTTTCATTTGTATACTTTTGTTCAGATATTGGAGATTTATTGTTCAGTTCCTGTCGTGAATTCCCACATAACATGAATACAGAATTGGAAGGGAGGTATACATATGGTTGGTTCTGGAGAAATCCTTGATTGCCGGGCTCTCTGTTAAACTGTGATGTGGCTACAATGGGGATGTGTCCATTTATGCCCTTCAGCGATGCACAAGACCCCTGCGGAGCCACAGACTTAAAACAGTCAGGGTCCACTGGTACAGGCATGACACAGAAAGGTAGAGGGCCTACGTTTTCCATAGTTAATGAAGCACTGGTTCTGAAACACAAAAACAAAGCTTATGAACAGATGCAAAAGAAAAGTAAACAAAACTCTCACACAAGGTTCTTTTCTCTTGTGGTATCCTCCAATACCATACAGAAATGTAAGCAGCAACACGTTTAAGGTAATTTGCATGAAATCAAGACAAACTGTAGGTCTAATACTATGAGTTTAGACCCTAAAATACTAGATTAGGAAGAGTCATTCTCTTGGGCAGTAAATAATACTCTTTAAAATAATTTGAGTTGACTGAACACACCTTCTGAAGAATACATGACATGATCCAAAATTTGTCTAGACACATTGATGGATACATTAAATCTGTCCTAGATGAAGTTAATCCCAACATTTGTCAGACTTTATTTAAAAATGTGCAATCTATACTTACTTAGTATCATCTTCAATCTCTTGTCTGCATATAGCTGCCAAATGTGCCATCTTTGATGAGTAGGTATCGGTGCTCTGAATGCAAACTAGAAAACAGTTAAAATTAAAGTCAGAAGTATAAATGTAAAAACAGTAAGAGTCAGATTTCTTGCAAATTAATCTGCCAGAAATAGAGTCTGATTCACTGTTCATCCACCAACACTGCCAATGGAGAGAGATGTGGAATAAATAAACTATTTGCTGTGCTACAAATAGTAATTTTGTCCACCCTCCCTCTTCTCCCATCCTCTCCAGAAGTTCTAGAAATTGATTCACTTACCATTCTGAGTCTTAAGGAGACTGATTGGTTCAGAGCAGATTTTCCTCTTTACAGTATTATTGGATGGAACCTTGCTAAAGGAAGGATGGATGCTGCAAGAGTCTCTCTCTGAGACAGGAGATGGAGTAGTTGATGTCACTTCCATGGTTTCATCTGAAAAGAATAAGTATTGTATGAATACGTGTTTCTCTTTATATAGGTCAAATGTGTAAACAAAACAAAAAAAAAATCCCAAACAAACACAGGAGCCTAGTAAATTATGCTCACATTTCTCTGTTGTCCTTAATAGCACATATGCGCTATTTTTTCCCAAATATCGTAAATAAGCCGCAAGCCTTACCGCTGTCTGCCCCAAAATCTACAGGTCCAATCCATTTAAATGCCGGTTTTCTCCCTCTTTCTTCAGTTACATGAACCTTCTTTATAAGTCGTAAGCTGGTCAGCACATTCGCAATGTCATACAGTCGTCGTACCTTTGCTGTGTGAAAAAGATAAGTGTTAAGTCACGAAGAAGAAACTCCCCAACAAATTAAGAATCAATACAAATTGAAAGCTGTGCTTGCTGTTAAAAGCCATAACTTATGAACAAAAGTATACTAGAAGGGACTATACAGGACCAGAGTACTTCATCTTCATATACTAGATAAAGTTAAAGGGACACTATAGGCACCAGAACTACAGCTTATTGAATTTGTTCTGGTGAGTAGAATCATTACCTTCATGCTTTTTGCTGTAAACACTGTCTTTTCAGAGAAAATGCAGTGTTTACATTACAGCCTAGTGATAACTTCACTGGCCACTCCTCAGATAGCTGTTAGAGTTCCTTCCTGGGTCATGGCTGCCTAAAATGCATCCAAACATTCAGTATCTCCTCCCTCTGCATACAGACCCTGAACTTTCCTCAGAGATTCATTGATTCAATTCATCTCTATGAGGAGATGCTGATTGGCCAGGGCTGTGTTTGAATCATGCTGGTTTTGCTGATCTGCCTCCTTGTCAGTCTCATTTACAGCTTCAGGCTTGAATACCAGAAGATTTTGCTATATTTATGGCGGCATGAGGGATCCAGGGGGGCTAAATTGTGGTTTTAACACTTTAGGGTCAGGAATACAGGTTTGTGTTCTTGACCCTATAGTGTTCCTTTAATCAAGTTTGTTCTGCTACAGTAAAGGTTTACATCTTCAACAATTCTACAGCATCCATTTTATACTTTCATTTATTTAATAGAAAAAAAGTTAAATGTTCTCACTTTCTGGTATTCAACTTTGTATTTGAGTCATAAGCCATTGGAACCCATAGCAGGTAGTGTAGAGGCTTGCTTATCCTGCAGGAACAAATTTACAAAGAAGCATCCCCCCCCCCATCAAGAAGAGTAATCTTTACTTTTAAATTTGCTGTGATCTGTAGAGTCCTGGCTCTCTTCAATTAGGATTTTAGCAGCCATCTCAAGGGTGATTATCTTGGATGTAGATACAAGAAACAGCATGACAAACTTCTTACTCATGATACGCAGCGACTTATCCTTGCGACTGCTTGCAGATGCTGTGAAAATAATGTAGAGAGTTGGGGGATTTACCTTTATTGATAAAGATAACATTAAAGCAAAACAAACAATTCACAATAACCATGAATAATTCTCATAATCTGGTACGCAAGAAAAACCACACACACCATAAACATTTTTCAGGGTAATATAAGATAGTGAAATAAAAAAATGAAATGGCCAAGTTGGAAAAATATTTCACAACAGCCTCTTGGCTTAAAATTATATACTTTTCATGCAGATTTCCCAGCTTAGGGAATAAGTTTGGGGGAAAAAAAAAAAAAAATGATGTATCAAGATTTATTGGTTAGAAAAAGGAATCCAATAGCACAGCTTAAGATGCAGGATGATAAGCTAAGTCCATTCAAAACAGAACTGTCAACACAGCCAAAACTCTTCATCACAGGTAAAAGGAGGTAGACACATTACATTCTACACGCCAAAAAGTATTCGTACATGTATATATTTTTAGTGTTCAGAATACAAAAAAAATAAATAAAATACATACCGGAGGGGCAGTCTGCTTCAGACAATTCTAGAAGACCAACAGTCTGGCTGTCCACGGATAAATCTTTATTCTGCTTCTCACACTTATTTGCCATAGCATGATCTTTATGCTGAAAATGATTAATCAATACTCCATATTTTTGTTTCTCTCCGTCTATCTGCAGTCTTTTTAGTGTCTCATTCAGATTGCTCTGTCCATTCCAGCAGTACTGATTCTTTGCTACCCGGCTCACCAGATGCAGGGACTCCAAAACATTCACAATGTCATAAATACGTCTGCGCTCGACACCTTTTAAGAACAAAGGAGGGAAAATAAATAAAACGCAAACTATGTATCCAGTGAAACTTTCCTAAAGGCTGTACACACAAACCTACACAATGACAGAGTAAAACAAAATAGGTTTTGCAACATTGTAATACAATCCGGTCCACGGAAAACATTCAGCATCATTTATAATGTAGAGTTAGGGGATTAGACAACTCCATACTGTACATGGCCACTTCAGTGATTTACAAAGGCCATGTTGCCTGGAATCTGCATGTGCAGCGTTTCATTGTGTTCTGGTTACAGCCAAACCTGTGCAAATGTTTAGCATTGTACCATTCATTCATTGGCTGAGAGCAGTCAGCCAACACAGCCAATCAATTGCAAGTGGAACAGCTTCTGTAGATAATCCTCAGGAAAGTAGCAATTAATCTCAGTGCCGGCGGGGCCCTAGGTAAAAGGTCAAACCGTTGCTAAACGGTTTGTCCCATTGCCGGGAAACCAGCCAAGGCTACTCTTAGCATAAGCAGCACAGCGGACTTGGAGTAAATATCCCTTTAACGTAGGTTGTAAATTTATATAAAAGCTTTCCTCCACCTTTCTTTATTACCAAAACCACTTATTTGACTGAATATACAAAACTCACGAACTGACAGTTCTGGTGATTACCAGAAAAAAAAAATGTCAGTGTTACAGCCATGATTTAGAGATTAAAAGCTATTCCTGAAGAAAGTTTACCTTCCAGGTTATACATACTTGTTAACATGTCAATGTACTAAGATCTTTTCTTACCAAGGCTTGACGCAGCTTCATCTAAAGAAATGTTTGTCTTCTCTGTTGCCATGGGATGGCTAGGATACCGAGACAGAAACTTCTGACACAGTAGCCCCAAACTTTTCTGCTTTCTGCTTGGCCTCTTTTCCAACTCATCAAGGTCATCAGCAACTTCAAACTGCAAACAAAAAGGTTATTTAGCCATGCAGATACTTAAAGAAAGTTTTAGGGAAGAGAATAGAGGAAGGGGGGATGGATGGACAAAAATAAATAAATAAATAAATAAACCCAAAATGAAAATTGCAAAACCGTTAAAGTCATTATAAATGAAACTCATGAATATTGTTTTATTTAGTTACTCTAATAAGTAAACCCACCTGGAGTTCAACACTTTGATATGCATACAAAAAAAAACCACAAACACCCAGTTAATTTGCAGTTTACAATATTTTAAACTGTGCAGCTAAAGGTGGTAGATCAAGGGGCAAATACATAATTGGCACAAAACTAAACAGCACAGTGTTAGGACACCGAGCATAGAAGGTCCAATCAGTCTGTATTGAACTATTTGGCATGTCCTGACTTGCACGGACTACTGTCCAACATTGCCAGCAGTGATTCCATTTACTAATGTAATCTTCCAGATTGGGGAATCGTAAATAAATAAATCTATATACAGATATCTTCCATATTACACAGACCCAAAGACAAGAGGACCCAATATATTCATGAAGTGCAATAAAGGAAAGAAAATTAACTTTACCTGGAAATCTTGAGCGGTATCTTCCGGTTCATTATTTTCGATTGGACGGAACAGTTCTTTTTTCTTTTCTCGATCCCGGATTTCTGGGCTTGCAGCACTCATCAGAATCTTTAGATTGGCCGTCGGGGTCCATGGATCAGCTTGAGGTCTGTCAACTATTTTTACTGGTGTGACAGGACTCCGTTCAGGGATAAAATATTTTTGTTTTGATAGATCAATTGGCTCTGCCTTCAAAAGTGCCCTTGGACTTATATATCTGTCAAACACATTCTCCTATTAAACAGAAAGGGGAGGGGGGAGAAATTTGCTTTGAATTCCTGGCAATTCTCACTTTAGTGAATAGACTGAAAAGAGTAAAAATCTTTTTCCTTGCAAAGTCACAAAAACAAACAGACTGATTTACTAACAATGACTACAGGCAAAAAAACCCCAAAAATAACTCAACAACAATGCAAAGAGACTCCACAAGCAATGTTAATGCATTAAAATGTACATGGAGACAAACTGATGAAAAGTTTGGAAACCACTCAAAATGCAGCTTTTTTGTTAGATTATAGCATGCAATGTCTTAACACACACACACAATCAGTAACGGATTCCCAATGCACAAACCAAGCTTGCTCTGGTTAGGCACCACAGTGTTAGTCACTAAACAGAAAAAAAACAAAAAACCCAAACACACACAAATGTAAAAATCTGATCCGAATAAAATCAACTCAGCTATAGCCACAACTTCTCTATTTTAGCCTGCATTTTTTCAATTTGGATTAAAATTTTCTTAACTTCACATATATAGACAACTGTAAATAGAGAATAATAAAGATGTTTATACATTATAAAATAAAAAAAAATAAAAAAGTAGCATGAAAATGTAAGCCAAAGCTTCTAAAAACCATGAAAAAACAAATAAAATAATAGTCACATATACAAAAATAAAATTATTATCTTACCTTCTGGGCACTCCTATCATCTATAACATCATCCACTTTAGTTTTTTTTGTGCTGACCAAATCATTTAGTGTTAAACAATTCATCACTTCCATCTCTAAAAAAAAATAAAATAAAAAAAAATGTAGATTTAAAAAGAAAAACAAGTTTAAAAGTAATGAAAATAAAAAGATATCAATGAATAAGAAGTTTTTAGTTTCCCCATAGTATTAATTAGAAGCTAATTATTCAGTAGGGGGGTAGTAAAATGAGCGGGATCTGATCCTCAGACTGGTCTCTATATATGCTGAATGGTCACTATAGCTGGGACCCTTTAGTAGCCAGGGCTGAAATGGGCTGGGGGCTGTTAGTTTTGGCGCTAAGGAAGTAGACAGATCCCGGGAATGGGAGTTAGGACAGTGTAACCTGACACCCATGGGTGCCCTCCCTGATCACGTCCGCATAGGATCCCAATACAGCAACAGGCTAGGACCCTGGATACCAACACAGGGGGGGGGTCTGGGCAGCAATACAAAACCAGGTCTCTACTACACAGGCAAAACAATGAATTTAAAAAAGTGATAAAATAGAAAATATTAGGAAAAATAATAAAAAGTTAAATAGTTGTCTATGGGTGTCTGAACTCAGCAACAAGTGGTGCCCAGTATTTAGGGATCATTTACCCGCCAAGTATCTGCACAGACTGGGAGATCAGTCCTTGGTGTGACTTACCGCTCACGGATGGCTTTTTCCAGCCTTGCATACGTTGCGATCTCCCACTCAGTCACTCCGCCGCCGCGTTCCAATGGAACGTTCACACACTTTACAGAAGTTCCAAGCCCGCTTCGGCTTCTATTCTGGCGCCCTGAGACGTTACACACGCAGGCAGCCAATCAGCGGGCGGCACAGACTTCTCCACCAATGGGAGGGCGTTCCGATTCCCAGCCCGGGCTCCCTCCCCCCTCGTAACCCGGGTGACAGTCCGGAGAGGTAGGATTTAGCGCGCGGTCCGCTGCCGTTCCCGCCTTCACCTTTCACACCTAGCAGGGCCGGCTGGGCGGGCGGGAGCCGGGCTGCCCGGTGCTGGGAGTAGCCATGGCTAGTAAGATGGGGAGGGCGGGTGGGTAAAGGGGCTGACAGATCACCCGCCAAGCAGGAGGGGGTAGAGCTGGCTAATTACACGGTGCGGACTCTTTAAAGGCGGCAAAGGGCTCAGTGACTATCTCTATGGTCGGCTTAGTTACTGAAATGGGATTTGGCATTTTTTTTTTTTATTTTTTTTTTTAAACATAAGCTGTCATTATAAAATGCTGAGAGTGGGTTTTTTTTTTCTCTCTCCGTTTTGGGACAATTCTTGCAATGTGGATGTAAATTTCACTAGTTTTCTATTAAGTGAATAAGCTCCATAGCTGGAAGAGTCATTGCACTTTGACCAGTTTACACTTTAGAGCATTGGTTCTCCATTATTTTGTGGAACTCTTTGACATAGTGTATCAAAATCTTGGACCCCCCTAAAAAAAAGTTGCGCAGTTGCATAAACCTTTTTTTGTGTGTGTGTATCTGTGTTAGTGTGTAGCTGTGTGTATGTATCTGACAAACAGATATACACACATTGATACAAGCACATACAAACACAGATACACATACTGACACACATGCACACAACTTGACATACAGTGTGTGTATCTGTGTTTGTATCTATGTCTGTGTATCAAGGTGTGTTTGTGTGTTTGTGTATTACTCTGACACACAGATGCATAACACCTTAACACACAGTGTGTATCTGTGCGTGTGTATATCTGTGTTTATATGTGTGGGTGTGTGTATCTGACACACAGATACACACACACACACACAACTTGACACAGTCTGTATCTGTTTGTATGTGATGTGTCAAGATGTGTGTAGCTGTGTGTGCATATGTATCTGACACACAGATACACACACACTGGTACACAGATACACTGTATGTATGTGTGCGCCAAGGTTTGTTTGTGTCAAAGTGTGTGTATCTGTGTTTGTATGTGCAAGTGAGTGTATCTGTGTGTGTATGTATCTGACACACAGATACACATGCACACTGGCACATAGTGGCACACATACACATACTGACAGATACACACGCAGTGACCCACACAACTTGATACATAAACTGGCACATACACACATATGTTTAAATTTGCTGTTCACTTACCTTTTTTCTGCAGGAGGATTTTCAGTGCTGCTGGCTGAGGTTGGTGTGCTGCGAAGTCCCCGCTGTTCCCCCTCCAGGCAGCGCGTTCTGTCTGGGAGGATGTGCTGTTACTTCCTCCCTGCATTGAATACTACAGGGGTCTGGTTGCGGTTTTAGATGACTGCGGCGCCTGACTGGACACCTGTTTAGCCATACCCATTGGGTGGCCCTAAATGCTTAAGCCACCCGTCGGGCAAATCACCACGGAACCCGAATTTTGTTATTGTGGAACACTAATTGGGAAACACTGCTTTAGAGAATAATCCTCTATTTTAATATATTCGTTTTTTTTTTTTTTTTTAAACATTGTTGTTTAATATACTATATTTCTAGTTAGTTTTAAATTTTTTTTTGATACTTCAGTTGTTTTTAAAGAATACAGTTTAAAAGTGATACTTAAAGCTCTAAAGTGGCTTCTGAGAAAAAAAAATGTTGTTTGAGGTTTATTCACTAAACTGAGAATCGTTACTGGTAGGAAACCGTGGATATGCTGTGGACTTTAACTGCCACTTCCCTCAGCTAGACTTTCCTGATTGAAGTGTTATGAATGAAGCTACAGCAATCCATGTTACCTTGAGTGTTGCTGTACCTCTTAACCATAATGGTGACTTTATAACTGGCATGGCCAAAAGGTGGATTTCTCGATGTTGCTTGACTTTAGCCTCCTTATTACTTTCTGCGTTTTAAAGATCCACTCCATACCTATGACACTTGAGCTTGCTGAAGTGCTATATGGGTGAAGAGTATACTGGTTTAATTCCAGTTTATAAAAGTGCAGCTTTCTATGAGAATTGGCACACTTAGAATGAAATTATGGAGTTTTGCTTCCTCCTTTTGTTAGCTCCGCTGAGCAAATTGAAGTGTTTGGTGATCTATGTTAGCTTGCTTGTCTTCTCACGCTGTTTCTCCTCACAGACCTTACATCAGACCTGAATTCTTCTACATGCTGTTGTAGTGCATGCATGGAGGGACACAAAAAGTATTTTGGGAAGGAAGAGGAGGGATTGCAAAGTTTGCAGATAAAAAGCTTTTTAGATGTACATTAGTCACAATGACGACATGCAGCAAAAATAACTTCGTTTTTATTGGACGTGTATCTACTAAATAGCAATCCCCCATTTTTGGAGTGGAGTGTTTCTATAAGAAGGGTTCATCACTAAGCTATTTATTGTAGCAAAGCCAAATGGTAATATTAAAGGGACACTTAAGGCACCAAGACCTCTTCAGCTGATTGAAGTGGTCTGGGTGCAGTTCCCAAGTACCCATTAGTCCGGCAATGTTAATTATTGCAGTTCCAGAGAATCTGCAAAAATTACATTGCAGTACTAAAACTGCCTTTAGTGGCTGTCAATAAGACGGCTACTAGAGGCACTTCCTGCTTGCTGGGCGACTTTTGGTCACCTGATGCTAGATGCTCCAATGCTTTCTTATGGGAAGGGCCTAATGTGCTTGCATGTGCGTTAGCCCCCCTGTTGGGTGACGTCGGAGAAAGCAGAGCTTGTCCCATCACCGAGGGAGATTGGCGCTAGAAATAGGTGAGTACAGAAAGGGTTTATTAACCCTATCAATGCTGGGGTGGAGAGCAGGTTTGTATTCATTACAGATACACAAACTCAAACACCCACTACTCTTGGGCGGCAGCAACGACCATAGTGCACATCAGCCCCAATACATACAATAAAAAAATAAAGAAAAAAAAGTGGTACCTGCACACTTTCCAAATCCCTTTGCATATTTAAATAAATTGAGGTTATTTAGCAACTCCAATGGCCATTAGATGCAAGCCCACCTGCCACGTCAAGGCAAACCTCTTAGGTGGGTCCTATACTAACAATTCACCTTGCTTCCTTGAGCTTCAGGGAAAAAAAAATCTCTAATGAGACAGAGAAAGGTATATTTCTGAACCCCCTACATACTTATTAACCCTTAATAGGGAACAGAGGGGGTGGGTGCCAGCTTTGTAACATGGCTGTGTGATTCAAAATGAATACAAAAAAAAAGTCCCACTTCTCTTGGGTGGCAGCAACGACCATAGAGATTTATTTTCCTTAAGCTCAAGGAAGCAAGGTGAATTGTTAGTGTCGGACCCACCTAAAAGGTTTGCCTTGATGTGGCAGGTGGGCTTACATTTAATTTCCATTTGAGTTTGATTTGGGAAGTGCGCAGGTAACTCTTATTTTTCTTTGTATTCTTTACACTATAGTATCGAAATTTCGGTTTTATCTTTTTCACAAGTGTCATTTAAAAATGTTTAACAGTTGTTTAGATAAGGCAGACCATACATGTAAATCTAGGGGTGCTCAAAGGAGTTTTTATACTTGACAATCACTTTTTAAAGGTTCGCTGTAATCTCTATAATATCTCGTCATTTACGAGTATAAATTTTGTTCAAATTTGGATGCCATTAATTTGCTGCATTGATATTCCTATTGTAGAAATGTAACTTTTGCATTAGGCATAAAATGAGCAGGGGTATGAGTCTCAGGTGCCCAGCTGACCCTTTTTAATGCTAAACTATATACAAATGGCATGCTGGCACAATGAGCCCGATTTCTGCTTCCCGTCCGACGTCACAGGGGCCTTGTGCGGTACAGTCACAGGCCTTCTTGTAGAGAAGCCTGTCATTGAACTGTTTTACAAGCTTAGAGTGCAAGCGCACACTATGGGCTGTTGAGGGGAGGGATGTCTAAATATATATATATATATATATACACACACACACTCTCACTGAGTGCAGCTCAGAGTGGTAGGGGAAGCAGTCTTCCCTTTGCCGGTGCTCTAACACAAAATATGCACAAAATTATCGACAGCCTAAAACATGTGCTGGGGTGCAACTAGCGCCCAGCATACATATATCTCAATATGTTTAATTGCGTTAAATATTGCACATATCTCAATATGTGCAGTGTTACAAGCACAAACGCTGCACTTACATACTCCTACCACTATGACCAAATTTGAGTCCCTGAAGTGGCCACGGTGTTTGGAGTAACACTTGAATTTGTATTTCAAAGCCTCACCATTGTCCCCATGCTCTCAAAACCAAGTCACTAGAGGAGAGATTTGCAAGTGTCAACATTACTTTGAGATTCTGACCTGGTAATTAAAACTAAGTCAGTTTTGGCTAAAGGTATGTACACTGACCAGCCGCAACATTAAAACCACTGATGGGTGAAATGAATAACTTGATTATATTGTTACAATGACACATGCCAAGAGGTGGGATATATTCTGCTGCAAGTGAACAGCCCGTTCTTGAAATTCATATGGTGGAGGCAGGAAAAATGGGTACGTGAAAAGATACAAGTGACTATGACAAGGGCCAAATAGTGATGGCTAGACGACTGGGTCAGGGAATCCCAAAACGGCAAGTCTTGTGGTGTTTTCCCTTGTATTCAGTGGTTAGTATCTATCAAGTGACGTAAGGAAGGACAACCAGTGAACCGGCATCTGGGTTATGGTTGCCCAAGACACATTGATACACGAGGGGAACGGAGACGAGCCCATCTGGTCCGATCACACTGAAGAGCTATTGTAACTCAAATTTCTGAAAGGTGGTTTTAATGTTGTGGCTGATCAGTGTACATCTCTTTATAGTAGGGCATCAAGTAAATGTGATATTTATAAGCTGAAGACGAAGATAAAAATAAAGTGTGCCTTAGAATCACTGATCTTTGAGAAGTTAGCAGTTTGTTATAGTTTGGGTTTCCATTCCTGAACTAAAAGTTTGTGCAAGCAGTCATATTACTATCTGTGGGGGAGTGCGAAACCAAATATACAGTCCCGATTAAGGACAGTGTACCTGACCAAATGCGGGAAATCCATGCTCAGCTTATATAAACATGGTTCATAATGATTAAGTTTTTTACGTTAAGAATTACATGGGTGAAGTCATGAGTGGATTTTTACGTCTGCTCCTGTAACAAACTCGTTTAAAGTGAGGCTGACTGGTAATTATTCCCCTGTAGCCAATGATGCCATTTTTACATTTTTTTTTATTTTTTATTATTGAACAAATTAGTCAACCTTTTCCTCCTTGTTTTAAACTGTTACATGTTTTACTTAAGTTACAGTGTTTCTTATACTGTTACCTGCCTTTGGGAAAACATGTGAACCATAAGATCACAACAAAATAATCACTTGCCTTGCATTCATTGGTGGATTTTGCGGCAGTGCCTTCTAGTTATTTAGATCCTGCAGATCTTAGCTCTCAGTAAAATGCTTTCTGTACCTCTACCCTCTAGGATCTGATTAAACGAGCATTCGGTGCTATGTAATGTAATACTAAAAACCAAAATGTACCCGCCATTAAAATTCTTGCAGCTGCTGCTCATCAAAAGGCAACCAGCAGCAGTGAGACCACTTAAGACCAAGAATAGGCTCCACCAATCAGAAGCCTTTAATTGGTGTAGCCTCTGCCGGTGTTGTTTCTCATCTCTGAATTAACAGTACATGTTGGCACAGGGGGACAGTCACTTCCAAGGATTATTATCATGTTTACTTATGCCATATATTTAACAAATATGTATTTGGGAAGTGTGGGAAATAAAATGATCTGTAGAAATACACATTCTGCTATGCTGGAACAAAACACATCCATCTTGGCTTTCTGTCCATCACGGTTAAACTTCTACCCTTCTCTGTCATTGAACAAGTTGAGTGGAGGTAAAGAAACAAACAATGTTGCTTACTAAACTGGATTGTGGTGGCAAATGTAATCTAAATTTAAAACAAAACGGAGCATCGCAGAATAGGTTTATACATTATTATATAATTATACATTATAGGTGTTTATTTTTCTAACTTGTGTTAAAGTAAGAAAAGTGACAGTTTCACTTTAAGGAATGTATGTGACATGTTGATTTCATTCTAACTTAGTCCCTAATGACCATTAAATACCTATATGAAATGTCTTGATTATTTATCAGTAGCAGCTCTGTACAGTCCTGTTGTAATTATGGATAATTGAGTGAGTTTCCCCCCCTATGTTTTTGATATGTGTAAAGAACAGATTATGATCTCAGACTGTCATTGACCTTAGAGGATTAATTAAATGTTAGCACCCATGTTGTATTCTTTTTGACTTTAGGATTATAGCAAATCTATTGTGGTTTATAGGTTCTCATCGTCTGCAATAAACATATTTTCCAAGATTTTTAGGGGGTATGTACATTATATGGACAAAAGTCTTGCGACACACTTCTTAAATATTGAAATCAGGTGTTTCAATCAGACCCATTGCCACAGGTGTATAAAATCAAGCTTCTACTCATGCAGTCTGCACTTACAAACATTTGAGAAAAAAAATAGGTCGTTCTGAAGAGCTCAGTAAATTCAAGTGTGGTACTGTGACATGATGCCACCTTTGCATTAAGTCAGTTTGTGAAATTACATTGCTGCTGGATATTCCACGGTCCAGTGTAAGAAGTATTTTTGGAAAGTGGAAGCGTTTAGGAACAGCAGCAACTCAGCCACAAAGTGGAAAACCACTCAAAGCCACAGAGCGAAGTCACTGAGTGCTGTGGCACATGTTATGTAAAAGTCGCCAATGCTCTGCTGATTCTATAGCTGAAGAGTTCCAAACATCTATTGGCATTAATACTGGCACTAAAACTGAGCGGCGGGAGCTTCATGGAATGGGTTTCCATGGCTGAGCAGCTGTATACAAGCCTCGCATCAAGTACAATGCCATGCTTCGACTTGATTGGTGTAAAGCAAGTCACCACTGGACTCTCCGGCAGTGGAAACGTGTTATGTGTGTATATGTACTTAGAATGCAATGTTATAAAAGTCAGTGTTGCTGTAATGGTCAGTTGTCCCAATACTTTTATCAATATAGTGTAGTTCAAATGTATCAGATTAGCTCATGCAGTCATTTTCAAACCTGACAGCAAGGGACACGCATATTGTTGTTATTGCTATTATAATTACAGGAAATAAAAATTTCTAGAATTCTGGCTCCCAGTTTTTTTGCAATCTGAACTAGAGGTTATTATTCTCGCTTGCAAGAATGAGTAGCTCGCTAGTCGATCATGTCTGTAGCTAAATAACAATTACACCACACAAAAGATGTTTGGCCCTGTAGGGTTCGAGAGCAGTACTTCTTGCTCTGTGGGTTACTTATGCAAAACATCCAGTAGAATGTAGTTGGCAACCTTTCGACACATAGTGCCTTAGTCAGGGCCGGCCCCAGGGGTGTGCGAGCTGTGCGGCCGCACAGGGCGCCATGGCAACAGGGGCGTCCTGGCAGCCGACACAGCTCACACATGGCCAGATGTGAACTATGTGCACCTGCTACCTGGGTGGAGGATTTAATTCTTCACCGCCCAGGTAGCTGACTATCCCTGACTGGGCGTGGGCTTACCGCAGCAGAGGCGGAGCTACATGCACCCAGAAGCCGGTGTTGGTGCTGCACAGGGAACAACAACTCCGGGAGCTGCATCTGCTTCCACTCCTCACTTATAATTACTGACCAGAGAGAGAGGTAACCTTCCATTTGGGTGTGTGTGTCTGTAACTGTGTGTGTGTCTGTAACTGTGTGTGTGTCTGTAACTCTGTATGTCTGTAACTGTGTGTGTGTGTCTGTAACTCTGTATGACTGTAACTGTGTGTGTGTCTGTAACTGTATGACTGTAATTGTGTGTGTCTGTAACTCTGTATGACTGTAACTGTGTGTGTATGACTGTAACTGTGTGTCTGTAACTCTCTATGACTAACTGTGTGTGCGTGTCTGTAACTCTGTATAACAGTGTGTCTGTAACTCTGTATGACTGTAACTCTGTATAACTGTGTGTGTGTATGTCTGTAACTGTGTGTCTGTAACTGTATGTATGTCTGTAACTCTGTGTGTCTGTCTGTAACTCTGTGTGTGACTGTATATGTGTGTGTGTGTATTACTAACTGTGTGTATGACTGTTCCCTATACAAACACTACACCCCTATACCCTATGTGCTCTCAGGATTTTTCGCACAGGGCGCCTAAAGGCCTAAGGCTTGACAAATACATCCAAGCTTGACAAATACATTACAATGCCTAACAAATAACCATCACAGAGGAAGCAGTAAAGCTTGGATTTTTGTGTCTGCTATCTGTGGACATAAAGGTATGGGGTGTGGCTTTACACCTTCATTATACCTAGTGAGGACCTTTTCACATTTTTCGCTACCATATAAGATTAACAACCTCATTTGCCTTTTTTTCCCCCCTGCCTATGCTGCAGACATACAGCTTAAAAGAACGCTCTCACCACCCAAACAACTTTAAGCTAATTTAAGTTTTTATGGGGAGAGGAGTGCCCAGGCACCATCTTTCCTTCAGGGCCAATGAGAGAAATTGAATGTACACCCAGTGATAGGCATGGAGCTTCAGCAAATTCTCTGGCCTTTGTGATAAATCGTCCTTGTACTTCAGTGCAGAGAGGAGGTAGAGGTGCAGGGTACAAAGCTCTGTTGCAAGCAAATTAACCTGTGATGGTAAGGCTGCACAAGGACTCTCCTGCTCAAATTACAATTTAGATTGGCTTAAATGGACATTCCATTGACAGTAACATTTTTAACTATATTAAGAAGCGTAAGAAAACCTCCCTGGATGTGACTCTGCCCCTATTTCTGCTAATTGACAGTGTAAACATTGTTTTTAATATCCCTAATATAGGAAGGAAGAGGTCTGAAATAAATGGTTAATTGTGCACAATTAGTATTGGAAATTGTTTCTCTTGGTGTATAACATAATCACTGACTTATTTTCCTTCACACTATGTTTAACATTTTGCAGCAATTCCTTTCTTATAATGGTGTTATTTGCACACATTGTAGCTGGGTATTCATGTTCCTTTTTATAAAAACAATAATTAGAATATGTATAACATATAAACACGTGGTTATTTTCTGTTTTAAGGGCTGAATGGAACTTCAGAATGGAAATGATGACCCTCCCTATGTGGCCAAACACTTAATTGTGATTAAAAAGACTGTGCTAAGAGGAAAGCATTCTAGTCTGTTTTTATTTACAAATCAATAATAATCTAACTAT